TAGATAGATAGATAGATAGATAGATAGATAGATAGATAGATAGATAGATAGATAGATAGATAGATAGATAGATAGATACTTTATTGATCCCCTTGGGGAAATTTAAGCATTCTCTGATTTTTACACGTGAGCACTGAGCACATGTGGAGCAGTGAGCAGCCATATCTTATTATTATTATCTGCTATTGCTCACTCTTAATTTAGTTTTACTTTATTATAACTTTTGATCTTTTAACTTCTTTTGATATGATTTTTATCCTACTGTATTTTGTTAATAACTTTGCCTTTGGCCAGAAGGTGCTGTATAAAGGTTGTCTATAAAGGTGTAATCCAACTTTGTAAACAATGGCATGACAGACAGCAGGTGCTGTGCATTTCTTCAAAGAATATTAATGACAATAAAGCCAAGTTCCAGACTCTTTCAAATTCACAACACTAACCAAAAAACAAAAACACAGTTAGTTCTTCAAAACAGCTTTAAATTTTAAAACATAGCTACTTTTACTATACCTTTAAAAATACATGTTTTACGGTTATGGTTTGATAAAGCAGCAAAAGACTGGGCGCTCCATCCGAGGCTGGTCACTTTTTTTGGCACAACATCGGTGTTGAGCTCCGGCTGGTAAGAAAACAAAGAAGAAAGAGCGCCGACAGGGTTGCCAGATATGTAACAATCGTCTCACGTATACCCTCATTTTAAAGTTCATGATACACAATGAATAGCTTATAAAACACACATGCAGCAGTTTTGGCATTTCCATTTAACAAAACAAATTTATTTTTATCCACGTGATTATCCAAATAAAATGTCATCTAAATATAATGCCCAAATATCCAAATATAAAGTCACTCGACCTAACACAACACCTCATATTTTTTACGTGCTCCTCATCCCCTGTGGTCGGGAAATTGCACCTTCATTCAGAAAATTCAAGAGTTTGAGTCAAAATATATATATTTTTTAGAAATACACGAATGTCTATTGTTTCCTATCTGGCAACCCCAGTCGCCAGTCAAAATTAGCTTTGACCTGTAGATGGCGCTTCACCGGCTAAACATCAGGACCGCTACGTGGCCATTAGCAAGGGGCAAAATACTTGGAAATCGTTTGAGAGCTTTTTAATTGAACATTAAGTCRTTCATTATAAATTTAAAGGCACTTTGTATGCTGGTGTTGCTTCAAAGAAAGGTAAAACCCGTCCCTAAAGGGCCTTCCCTATAGATATGTAGGCCTACTACACGGTCCTTCCCCCTCCCTGCCTGCCCAGGGGGGTGGACCCTAACCGCGGGAGGGGGGTCTACGTCTGGTCGAGCAGCTGTCATTGCTCCGCTCCTCCGCTGCCTGCTTCACCATCCAGACGAAGAAAGACCTTTATTGTTTATCTAAAACTGAGGTAGGAGTTAAACAATCGTGTCTGTCATGTCTAATTTATCCGCAGTTCCGCTTTGTTTCAATGGTTCCGGTTGCAGATGCAAAATAAACCCTGTTAGCTGAAAGAAACAAACTTTAAATTATTCCAGAATGACTTTAAATTATTTAATGATCGATATGTGTGGAATTAAAAAGATGGTTAACCTGTACAAGTTAAATAAATAAAGCTCCGTTATAGGGAGAAACGTGAACCGGAAGTTGAATTCTGCGCCTTTAAATGTGTGTAGGGTTCATATTTCTGCTCTCTGCTTCCATAAACAAAGAACTGATATGGATCACACTGCAGCAGAGCACATTAGTGAAAGTAATGTTCACAAGAGATTAAAGATGTGTTCAACTTTTCTAATATTTTCTACCAGCTGAAACTCTATTGTTCTCCAAAGTAAATATATCTTAACTACTTTAGGTAAAAAMCTTTAAGATACTGCACTGCATGACAGTGAAATGTTAGATATTTTAGTGATAATTTCAAGCATAGCTTGATACAGTGGAGAATACTGCAGTTATTATGTAAAAAAAATCAAGCCTGAGGAATGGTATCCATGCATACATGACATAAAATATTGTTTAATTATCACATAAATCAATAAAGAGAATTTAATTGAATATTATGTATAACAACATACTTACTCGAGTATAATAAATGATTTATTACAGAACTCTGAGTGATAAATTGTCTGAAAAGGTCTCAGTATTTATTGTGCCCCTCTTCAGATCTGCACATCAGTTTGAGCTCACTCCTCTATAAATAACAGATTTTTATAAAAATAACAGAAACTAAATTTAAAATTCTTGTCCTGTTTTGCTACATATTTTGAAACGTTCGAAACATAAACTTAATTATTTTTAATCCAGTCTTAGGTGGATCAAGGGTTGTATTTAGTCACACCCATTTGTCTGGCAGTAAATTACAACAGAACTGTCTCCAACTACAAAACTAAGTTGTGTTACATTTTTTTGGGCTAAATGTGCAGTTTTATCTAGATTTATTTTTTATGTTTCCATCCGTCAGGCAGTTTAATTGTAAAAACACTGCCTTATTTTTTCAGTCTTGTGCAAACTCACTTGTTTAACGTTGTTCTGTTGGAACACAGGGAGGCTTTCAGCTGTGGACAAGTCTCTCTGTGTCCCTGTGTGACCTTTCAGATTACACACTTCACTGAGCTCTTTGACTTATCTTTTTTTTTTAATCCTGATTGTTCACACAGACAATTCAAAACAGCCTTGGAGTTTGTTTTTTTTTTTTCATTTGTTTTTTCTGGCTGCTAAAGTGTACCAACTTTACATCATTTGAATGATTTCAGCAGAAATGTAGAGACTAGTGTCCCATTACTTGAAACATAAAAAGCCCAGACTTTCCGGCTCTTGTGTGTTTCCAGATTTTGAGACTTTTATTTTGTTTTGCAGGATGTCTCGAGAGCAGCAGGCAGTGGCCCGAGCCAGGAAAGCCTTTGAAACAGGCAGGTCCAAACCTCTCGAGTACCGGATCCACCAGCTACAGAACYTGCAGCGCCTATTCTCAGAGAGGCAGAAAGAGATTTCAGATGCTATCAACAAAGATCTGAAAAGGGTGAGTTGTTACACTGAGAATCATTGCTCTCCCAGTCAAAACTAGGGGTGTAAGAAAATATCGATACACTGAAATATCGCGATATTTCATTTCCCGATACTGTATCGATATTCTAAAGCCCTGTATTGATTTTTTATTAAGGTTTAAAATGTAAACTTTCCTGCCAGCCGTTCATTTTTATGTTGTAGTTCAGCCTCTGACCACTAATAGGCAGCAGTGAGCCAGCCATTTGGCTCCTCCACAGCTTGAGCGCCAGAGAGTAAGAGAGCATTAGCATTGTCAGTAAACATTAGCTTCATGCTCCGATAGCTGAATCTGAGCAGAAAAGACCGACACCCTCTGCCTTCTAAGCTGAGGTAAGGTTACAAACAGTTACTTATTTGTCAGAATGTCTGTATTTTAAGACAAATTAAGTTTTTTGTGCGCTCTTTTTTCCAACTGTCGTCATCTTTCACGTTACGCATAGCGCATGCGTCTATCATCTCGAGCGAGCTCGGCACTCCCCCCGTGACATAAAACTCTGTCTGTTGCTCTCAATGTCCGGCTCATCGCATCAAAGTCCGTATACTTTATCCTGCTGTGTTCGCTTCAAAAACGGTTTAACTTGTTTAGCTTTTCAATTTCTCAACTGGTTTTCTTYAGGACCTGCCCTGCTGTTCGACCCACAGTTATACAAATCATGTTCTGGATGCAGGTCAGCTGATCCCAGAAACCCTGTGTGCAGCAGCTTCATATCTTCTGTTTACTGAACTTTATGACAACATAAAGGCTGTTGTTAAGTGTTTGGTGACCATATTGTAAATTAATATTAAAAACTAAAAGCTGCAAAAAATATATTTTCTAACTATTTATTGGCAAATTTAGTCTAATAATTGAAAACATGGATGAAATATGAAACAAATAAAATACAACACATACAAAGCAGAACACAGCTAAATGTATCAAAAGTATGTCTATGTAATATTAGAATTTTCTGAGTTAATGAATTTTGGTTTTTCGTTTTTTTCCCAGTAAGAGGTTTTTATTTAATAGAATTTTTGGACAAAAAAAATCGCAATATATCGCCTTGTTTACAGTATCGAAATATATCAGGATATATCGTATCGTGACCCCTCTGCCTTGATATGTATCGTATCGCCAAATCCTTGCCAATACACAGCCCTAGTCAAAGCTAAATTTATCCTCTTTAAATATTCAAAGTTTTACCTTATTTTTCAGTTTTATACTTATTTTACCCTTTAAATTAAACTCAATAAGACTGAAGATCCAAAAAAGCAAGAAAAGTTTCTTGATTTATTCCAGCCATAAAATGAATAATTTTTAATCTGTGTATAAAAACACATCCTTAAAAAAACTAACAATTTTAAACATTTTAATAGTTTTCTGTTGGTGCTTCAGCTCTTGTTATGATGTTATCATCCTGTCTGTTACACGATGATGTTCTTAAAAGAGCCAAGCGCCAACAGCAAGGGCTGCGTTCCATTCCGAAATACTTAACTGTAATATTTAATATTTAGCACAAACTAACAGGAACACTTTTGTCGTCACGCAGAGCGAAGTGGGAATGCAGATGTTTGAGACTCTGGGTCTGGAAGGAGAGATTGCCCTGACCATCAAGAAGCTGAAAGAATGGGCGGCCCCCCGGCCCGTGGAAAAGAACCTGATGACCCTCTCGGACACCGTCTACGTCTGGCCGGAGCCGCTGGGGGTGGTGCTGATCATCGGGGCGTGGAATTACCCCTGGGCCGTCACCGTCCAGCCGCTCATCGGAGCCATCGCAGCCGGTACTGTATCTGTGTGTGTGTGTGGTGGGGGTGGGGAACGCAACAAGGTTCAAGTTCATATCAGATTTATGCCCTTTTGTTCATTCTCCAGAGCTTCATTCATGAAATTTAGTTTTTTTTTAACGAACCTGAAGTTGTCACAGGTGTGGGGAGAGGAGATAGTGGAGCATTTGGAGCGACTTTAACTGAGCTAACGCAACTTGCAATTAAAACAAAATAAAAAACAGTGTGTAGGATTTGTTGTTTTCAGCGACATCTAGTGGTTGAGTGGTTGAATCATCCTCCCTGGTCCTCCCCCCACCCCCACCGTCCCGCTTCCAAACACAAAGGAGTTGCTACGGTGTCTCTCAGGTGTCAAAAACCTTTGATAATTCCAACCGCGATGTCTACCAGCAGCTTCAGGGCTAGTGATGTTTCAAGTGGTAAGATTATGAGCTTTAATAAGTAAAATTATCCCAGCTACAATGACAGACAACAAATATTGTTACATTTATAGTATTACAACTAAAACCGTTTTTGACGCCACCACCGCAGTTTGTCCTTCATGAGCCTTCGTAGACAAGATGGCGGCTGCCTGTAGTGGCGACCCGCGACCATGGAGATATAAACAGCTTTTTATAAGGTAAAAATAATAAAACGAGGTCTTTGTCTGCAATGATTAGACATGTTTTTTATTATTGTCATTAGTGATGATCTCAATTTCGGCTAAAAGAATTAACAAAATCCTACACACTGTGYCTTTAATGCAAATAAACCAAAGTTATTTTTCCTTAGTTTTGTCTTTAAATGTTTGTAGCTTTAAYTGTCTTAGGTGTTCATAGAAATGTTTATTGTCAGCTTCAAGCCAAGAATGAACCAATTGGTGGGCTGGACTTTGGTCTCCTGTGAGCCACATCCCACCTGCAGGCTGCCAGTTGAATAGCCCTGCCATAAACCTCCCATGGGTTGAAACAGTTCTTTTCATTTTACACTGCATGGCCAAAAAACAGTCACCACCAAAAAGTAGGTCACACACTAATATTTTAGCTTTGATTACGACACATTCTCTGTGGCATTGTTTCTATTAGCTTCTGCAATGTCAGCAGATTTATTTACATCCATTGTTGCATTAATTTCTCACCATGCTCTTGCATTGATGATGGTAGAGTAGGGCTGCAACTAAGGATTATTTTAATAATCGATTAATCTGTCGATTATTTTTTTTGACTAATCGATTAGTCAAATCATTAAAGCCCTTAATTACATAAATATGAGTATAAATTAATTTAATTCCTGTATAAATTAGGGATGCAAGTTATCGATTAATAAATTAATCTGAAGTTGATTTATCTTATAGATTGACTAACAGTTAATTAATAAGCAGCCATTTTATTAAAAACCAGAGTTTTCTATTGAATCAAGAGGGTCTTTTCATAAAATGAAGGATTTTTTTAAATAATATGCTAAATAAAAAAGAAGCACGTCATAAATATTTTCACAATTGATTTTGCCAGCTATATTAAACACTGACTGGAAAAAATAAACCCAAAAATATGGATTTCTCATGCATTAATAAACTTGGTTATAGCTATAAAACATAACAAAACAGAAATTTAATCGGTTGCTGAATGAGGAAAACAGATAAAACGAATAAAATGGGATTTTTAGATGTAAAACTATTATTAATTTATTATTATTATTATTAGAATTTATTTGCATTTAGAATTTATGATTTTTCTCTAATTGTTTACGTTTTAATTCCTTCTGGTTCTGTCTGACTGAAGCAGCCCCCCATCCCTCCCCTGTGAGTCAGACCAGGAGTTCTGCTGCGTCTTTTTTATTTATTTACTTTTTCCTTCACCCTGAACCTTTTTGCTGTTTATCAAATAACGTTGAGTCTCGATCAGAAAAAAAGACGAGGGTTTTATGTTTCTGGTCCGAAAGGAGGAAAGAAATGGTGGACTGAGATCGACTGAGGTACTTTTTTATTCTTTTCGTCACAGGACGTGTTTCCTCCTCCCGACGCGGCGCGCATCAAATCAGACCGTCTTTGTAAAAAAATGAAACGTGTCATGTATTTTTTATCATATCTTCGGATCTACTTGGCCTAACACAATTTAAAAACTGGTTTAAAGTTCAAAGTCTCTGCTTTTCCCTCGAGAGTCTCAGAGAGGGCGGATCTTTACAGGTAGGTTTTTTTTTCTTTCTAAACTTTATTCAGGTCAGCCAGCATTGACAACGCACTGCGGGTGACGTAAACGGCTCCGCGACACGGCGAGGGACGCGTAAACCGTGCGACACAACGAATCAATAATGAAACTCGTTGCCAACGCTTTTAATAATCGATTTTTATCGATTTTATCGATTCGTTGTTGCAGCCCTCGTTCTTTGAACACAAACTGCTGCTGAACCTAGACCTGACCACCTGCAGCAACACATCATAGACCTTATTAAATCCAGGTGAACACTTTTTTTTTTTGGCCAGGCAGTGTCTGTGTGTCACGTGAGTTAAGTGCGTCACATGTCACCCCTTCAAAATAAAGTTCAGCCCTTCATCTGTACGACTTCTGATGGCCGTTTTTCTAGCCGTTTCTTTTATCTCGTGATCAGAACAGCTCCAGTTCCTCTTTTTGTCCATCATCGCCACACGCTCTCCCATAATGACACGAGTGGGTCAAAGGTCATGCCTCTGTGCTTCACCCAGAGGAGCAGAGTTTTAAAGGAAAACCACACAATAACAGTGCTGCTCTGTAACATGACGCATGTGAACACCCGTTTATTAACATTTGTTTTGAATCGTTCAGCTGCAGAGTAGCGAGTGGCTTTAAAGCTCTCAGCTCTGATTTCTTCGAGTCCTGCAGTCGTCTCACCTCTGTTACACTCGCAGTATCCCAAACACATTCCACCCAACAGATAGTTTAATTACACAATCGCGCTGCTCTTATGTAATCACGTTGGTTCGATCCCGCGCAGAGAGCCAGAGGAATGAGGCCTGCAGGCCCTGAAGCAAGTGTTTGCACTTGTTGGACTTTGTTCTCTGCGCCTATCGGACCCTAAATGCTGGAGTCAGCTCAGTGGGCCAGAAGTCTCTGATAAACTCTGGGATAAAACACGACGTAAAAGAAAAGTCGAGGCCAAAAGTCAGCGACAAGCCCTCGTGTTTGGTTGTTTGAAACTGATAAAACTCAATCAGGTTAAATATTTGGACATGTCCTTGTGGTTTTTGGTGTCATTTATTAGCTGTGATTTTCTCTCTTTAAACTACTGTTAAGAACAAATGTCTGTAATCCTATAAATGCATCAAGAAATCCTTTATGTATCAAGCTATAAGTTCAAATGAAACAAACTAATTATATTTAAAAAAACTTTATTAGTCAAGAAACTGAGGCTTCCATTAGAGACAGGTGAACAGAACATTTTAATCCCATGAGATGATTTAAACAGATTATCTGACCTGTTAGTTTAATAATAATGTCAAAAAGCTGAAAACTTTGGACATGAAATCGTTTAGTTTCAGCCAAAGTTTGTGACTTTTTCTTATCCGACGTCTCAAATCTTCATGCTTTATTTAATTATTATCTTCTTTAACCAGTAAGTTTCACGTTAAACTAGAAATAAACTCAGTCAAACGACTTCAAAGATTATTCAAACCAAAGTGTTGGTGTAAAATTTGCTTTTTGGTGTTTTACTGAACGTGYTCTCGTTCACCTGTCCAGGTAACGCAGCCGTGGTGAAGCCTTCAGAAGTCTGTGTTCACACCGCAAAGGTGATGGAGGAGCTGCTGCCGGTTTATATCGACAAAGTAAGAACAACAAGAAGCTGACGCACTAATGGTCACTAATCTGGCGTCGTTTTATCGTTTTTAACTAAATCCATAAATAGAAATAAAAAGTTAACCTGTGCCTGAGTCTAAAGAGGTGAGCAGTCCAGCCATGGAGTTCCACTATTTCTGYCTTTTTTTCAGCTGTTCATAAATCAGTACATTCAGCTCATTAAGGCCGTGGGTGCTGTGACGTTTGGTGTTTCAGCAACTTTTACTTTTTCATTTATTTAGCTTTTTCTGCTATTTTATAAATCTTTACACATTTTATTCTGGTTCTGCTTTTTTTGAGCTAATTTTATTTCAGCTGTCAGCTATCTTTCTGTTCCTTTCAGCTATTCTTCTGTTCATTTAAACTTTTAAGGCTTCTTTCAGCTGCTTTCTGCTAATTTGTGCATCGTTTTAACTGGTTTAGGTTAATTTAATCTGTTTCCTGCCTTCTATCTTCAGCTAATTTTAGCTTTTTTCATCCTAAGTCACATTTTTGTGATAATTTCAGCTTCTTATAGCATAATGTAGCAAAAATGCTCTCTGTCTGCATCTGAGCTTTTTTCATTTTTTTCCAGCTAATATTTTAGCTGCTTTTCTGCTATTTTCAGCTGCTTTGGCTATTTTGCAACTTCTTTTTTTTTGTTTTTCTGCCAAAGTAAGCTTTTTTACTCTCAGCTGTCTGTCAGTTTAGCTTATAAAGGCTCCTAACAGGTATTTGTGTCTACAATGGCTTGTAAGATGTCTTAACTGTCAGCAGGTTGTTGAATTTGAATATTTTGGTTGAACTTTTATTCCAGCCTAACTGTGTGAATTGTCGATTGTTTCAGGAACTTTATCCTGTCGTGTGCGGAGGAGTCCCAGAGACTCAGGAGCTGCTGCGTCAGAGATTTGATCACATTTTCTACACGGGCAACAGCACGGTGGGCAAACTGATCATGGAGGCCGCTGCCAAACACCTGACCCCCGTCACCCTGGAGCTGGGCGGCAAGAGCCCCTGCTACATCGACAAGAACTGCGACTTAAGCATAGCCTGCAGGTTAGAACCACGGGGGGTACTGCTTCCTTTTTATTTTAGTTCTTTATTCTTTTCTAGTTGTCTGGATCCACAGCGTTGAATTCTGTTCTTTTTTACGCTGCTACTCAGACGTGTCGCCTGGGGAAAATTCACAAACTGTGGTCAGACCTGCATCGCCCCAGACTACGTCCTCTGTGAGCCYAGCATTCAAGACCGGGTCATCGAGGAGGTCAAGAAGTCCATTAAGGTACTGAAAACTCAGCTCCGAGTCCTGATATATTTACTCGACTGAAAGGATTCGTCTTTAGAYGCAAACAAATGAGTAAAWATGGAAATCTCTGGTGTCAGGAAGTGTTTGATTTCATGTGCTTGAAATGGTTTGTGCAGGACTTTTACACAGACAACCCAAAGACGTGTCCCGACTATGGACGCATCATCAACCAGCGCCATTTTAAACGGATCATGGGCTTGTTGGAGGACAGCGCAGTCACTGTTGGAGGAGAAAACGATGAGTCAAACTGCTACATTGGTAAGATAGCTGCTGATGATCAACTGACATCATAAGATGAAAACAGAATCGTCTCATCAGGAGTTTTTATTTATTTATTTATTTGTGTTCAGCTCCCACAGTTCTGCGGGACGTGAAGCCAGAGGCAAAGGTGATGCAGGAGGAGATTTTTGGACCTCTGCTTCCCATCGTGCCCATCAGTGGTCTGGACGAAGCCATCAAGTTTATAAACAAAGGAGAGAAACCTCTGGCTCTGTACGTTTTCTCATCAGATGATAAGGTATGAGCTGACTGCACACGCAGAGGCAACAGATCAAGACCGACTCTGAGATTCGTTTTTGACTTTTGTCCTCCTAAGGTGATCAACAGATTAAGAGACCAGACTTCCAGTGGAGGATTCTTGGCCAACGACTGTCTCGTTCACTTTTCTGTCAGCTCGCTGCCTTTTGGAGGCGTTGGTGAGTCCACAGAAACTAAAACATTAACCTTGTCAGTGTGCATTGCCAATGCAATGCACACTATTGTGATTCGTTTCCCATCCAAGTAATCTCAACTTTGCCATTCTTCTCCTCCTGCATACTTTGTCCTAGAGCTGCCATTGTAATTTATATCTGTAAAGCT